TGATCCGCAGGCGCCGCCAGGGCGCACAGCCCAGACCGCCCTTCCCGTGCACACGGCGGCCCCGAGGATGCTACTGAACTGCGGGTGCTGCCCGACCCGGCAGGTCCGAGAGCCTGCGCTCCCGACAAGCTCCCAGTCGGAGGGCGGTCTCTGAGTCGCACGGGGCAACGGAGGACGTGCCGCAGTGATGAAAACGCTCCAAGTCTGCGCCCTGCAGTGCGCACGCGGCTCCCGAGCCCTGGGAATGTGGTCGGGGTGGCCAGGAAGCGGGACGGTCTGTGTCAGCCCATCATCGTATGGGACCGCGCAGGTCCGGGAGGGTCCCGCTCCCCGAGGAAAGGGACCGGCGCTTGGAAACGCGGAGGGAGCGAGAAGAACCGGGGGTGGCTCCCAGTTCTCGGCCCCAGCAGCCCCCTGGGGACTGGGTGGCTGGGGAAATCCGGCCGGCCTGCCACCAGGTCGGGCCAGGACCAGTGTTTACCTAAGGCAGGGAGGCAGACGGGGAAGACCTTATCGAGACGTCTCAGTGACTCAAGCCCGTGATGACTAGGTTGACCTCACCGCCCAATCACGCCACTGGACGCGGCCCGGGGGCATCCAACCACACCCGTCATCCCCAGGTGACCGCTCCCGTCCCCAGGTGTGGGGCGTGATCCTGGACAGTCCGTGGCCACAGCCCTGACAACACCTGACTCGCCTGCAGGATGTCTGTGTCTCCCGCTAAGCTGCAGGCTCCTCCCAAGGGGCGCTCGCCCGCTGGGTTGCCCCCGCCCATGGCCTGGCACCAGGGAGGGCTCACGGACACTGGATGGGCGTCGGGGTGTGCAGCCCCCCAGGGGCAGCGTCGGTACAGAGGTTAACCACACAAGAAAGAGAGAAACTGAGTGGGCAGGACGGGGCTGCGGGGTGTCCACAGAGGAGACCTCTCCTTCCTCGGCGGACTCGAACATTTCCAAACCCGGCATCACACGGTGGAGATGCACTGCCAGCAGGGGGCGTCCTTCGGGCGACAGAGCCCAAGTCTGTGAGCCCGGGCTCCGGAAGAGCAGTTTCTCAGACGTGTCCCGAAGGCTAAGATGCTGTCACGGTCTTGCCTGAGAAGCCCACAGGCCCGGGTCCCCCTCTCACCGCGGTGGGGGAAGCAAGGCCTCTGGGGGTCCCGTGGGGCCCAGGCGTACGTCCTGCCCCTGAGGGTAGAACCCCGTACATGGGACTGCACGGAGGTTTCCGGTGGGGACCAAGGACAACAGAGCAGAGAAGTATGGCCCGGGAGGAAGGAGATGACATTGTAACACGTACGCGTCAACGTCAACCATGTCTTTAAAACCACAGGTGCAACGGAGCCAAATAGGCAGAATGGAGGGTGCTCTGAGGGCGAGTGTAACCACGCACTGGGAGATCCCAAGTCTGTACACAGGTCTGCCCTATTCCGAGACGGCGCCGAATGCCCCTCCCCCCCCCAAGGAGGGGAAGCCCGCTGCTCAGACTCATGCCGCTGCTGTGTGTATTTTCTCCGTTCTTTCCCCAACCAAACAGAGTGTGGCCCACAGGGCAGCACCAGACTTCGCGAAAATTGCGCGAAATAATCATCTCACCCAGAGAAAGTGACCAAGTGGAAAATGTAAACCACAGCTACCTGCAGACCGGCTGCCGCAAGCACCCACTGGTTACAGAAACGAGCACCAGTTAGGTCACAGATACAGCTTTCCATCCACTCACTCACGTAACCGTTCGCTGCCCCTCCCTCCCTCCCTCCCTACCCGTCATGCAACTCTCACTGAAGGGCCCAACCCGCTCCCCGGGTTCTGTGGATTAACCACAGCCTGTTAAGCAGTTTATTAAGCCATTTATTAAGCCAGTTGTCTGTTAGTTCTTGTCTGTTATTTGCTCATTAAACTCTCACCATGACCTTCTGAACTAGACAGGTATTGTGAGCCAACTTGAAAGCTGAGGAAGACGCGAAAACGCTAGGGATCTCACCCAACTTCACACCCCTGGCCAAGCAGTGGACTCTGGACTTGAACCCAGGCCTCTCCGACAGAGGAGTAATTTAGAGAACCCAGCATTAGGCAGTAACAGAAAGCAGCGTCTGGTTCTCGAAGCAGCATGGACCCGGGTTCAAACTCCAGCTCTCCACCTCTCCAGCTCTGCAACCTAGAGCAAATTCACCTCTCTGAGCCTCCTGACTTAAATCATGCTCTTTCCTCCTGTGAGGAATACACAGCAGATGTGACAGTCACCACATGTGGTAGGGACCCGATGGCTACTAACAGTCCAGGGGCAGGTGCACACATTAAAAAAAAAAGGTATATTTCAGTTGTAGAACGAGTTTTAGCAGACCCGACCTATATTGGACAGAACAGGTTCACAAAGGTTCATCCGCTTAAAATTAGTTTACTAATTCCATGACTCATGTGTTTAAACACAGAACCAAGGGCTTGCAAATGTTAAGTTGACTTTGTTTCTGCTAAATCAGTAACTTGGTGTCACAATACCCATCCTCATGCCCCTTTTCAGGGTGAAAAGTAGATGCCTGTTTAAACCCCAAATACGTGGGTACCACTGGTTAGCAACACCATCTAAGGAACCAGCACTGGTCAGGGGGACGAACATTTAACACCTTGGAAAGAGCATGATTTAAGTCAGGGGCGTCAAACTCATTTCCACCGAGGGCCACATCAGCCTTCAAAGGGCCGAAATAATTCTAGGGCTGTATACATGCAACTCCTCCTTCCCTGCTGTTAGACGTAAGGTGAGATTACACTCGGCCCTTTGAAGGCAACCTCGAGGCTGATGTGCCCCAGCGCCCCCCGCGGTGAAAATGAGTTTGCCGCCCCTGACTGAAACGACTCCACAGTGATTCTCCCAGAAAGTAAACAACGTTCAACCCCGGCTCTCCCAACTCCAAGCTCACCCATGGTAGCAGCATCACCCTAGTGTGAATCCTGGGTGTGCCCCAAGCGAGCCCGGCCTGTCGCGATTTCCATCTTTTCCTAGTTGCAAATGGCGGGGGGGGTCGCAATTTAATGAAAGGGCCGAATCCCATCCCTTTAATCTGCTCAGTAACGGAGGCTCTGGGCTAAGCCTCTGCACAGCACACAAAAAAGAGCTTTGCAATTCCAAACTGGAAACGAAAATTAATCAGAGAAAGGGCATGCCCATCTGAAGAGCAATTCCTATCTGCCCAGCTTCCCAACATCTGCCAGAGTGAATCGTATTTAACTGATAAACGGCAGCGGGGGGGGACAGAACCTTAAACACAATCGAGCTTTTTCCAAGGCCTCGGGTCCAGAGCTCCCTTCCCTTAAGAAAGGCAGCCACCTTTTCGGTGGCCGCCATCCCACACACATCATTCATGGTGCATTTCCCAACGTCAGGAACATTTTTCTCTTGCCCAGCACTTCTGGGGGAAAAAGAAAAAAACAAAAAAACAACTTCTTACAGCCCCTCTCATCCGCCTCATTCGAAGACACCATGTTCAAGCCTTACTGAGTGGAGTGGACCTAAGTGAGGTGGGGTCACACAGCTTGCTACGAAAGCTTCTCGGGCAACTCCCCTCAGCCAAAACAAACAAAAACAAACAAACAAACAAACAAACAAACGAGGAGGAGGAACCTGAGGGAGTGAGGAGGCTGGGAGGATGACCCAGCTACACTTAGAACAGTCAGAATGCTGAATCTGTTCATTTTGATTTAGCCTGTTATTGACTGTGTCTACAAAGAGAGAAAAAAAAATTCCATTAAGAGAAACATTCTGGATTTTTTTCTCCCCCCCCCCCCCAAGCAACTCCTAACAGCAGATGCTTTGTTTGAGTGAGGGGTGGGGGGTGGGGGGATGGGGGGAAAGAACGCCATCGCTTAATTTAAAGCTCTCTGCTGACCTCCCCTCACTCACTCCCGCCTGGCCATCTTCTCACACACCTACAATACCCCCATTTTTAAGGCTGCAACTCGACATTCTGGCCACGGGAAATGCAATCATCGGCTCGCCGCCGGCGCACGTCTGGCTTGTAAACCCGTCACCTTTCACGAGCCCAGCGGCGCGCTGAGTGCCCGACACACGGCGTCCCCACCCCACCGCAGCCCTGGACCGGGTGCGCGACCCGCCCCTTTGATTCGCAGGGGATGCGAGGGCCGCCAGCGAGGGCAGGAGCGGACCCCAGCCAGCCCGCGGCGGCCCTGGGCTCGCACACTCTGCCCTCCCGACACTGCCCGCGGCTTTGTCCACCTAAGAAGCTTGTTCTCCCCTAGGTGCTCTCTCCGCAGGATGGGGGGGGGGGGCTCGCTAGTTAGCACGGCCAGCACTGGGCGGCGTGACTTTGCACCTTGACCAAAATCAGGCCTTTTACAGGCTGCTGGGGCAGGGAGGCGGTCAGGGGTCACAGGTAGGACAGGTAGCTGGGGGCGGCTGGCACAGGCCTTTGGACCAGAAGCAAGGCCCTCCACACACCGCCTCGCGCTCCTCTCCCGGGCGGGCGCCGCGCGGGGTCCCCGCGGGCCTTTCGGGCGGAGCTGTGGATACTTCGCCCGGTTTTCCCCGGAAGGACCCAGAGTCGGGGGAAAGGGGCTCGGAGCTCACACCTGCCCCGCGGGACAGGCTGCGGGCAGGGGCGCAACCCGAACTAGTCGCGGGGAGGCGGGCTCCGGGGGAGGCCGGTGAGCCAGGCCCCCAGCCCCGCTTACCGCCCACCCCGACTTTCGGGCAAAGTTGGCGCACTGGGGGAACCGGCGGACCCGGGCCCCGCGGGAGAAATGGGGGGAGAGGGTCTTAAAAAGGCCCGGGGTAGCCATCAGCCTTGTCCTCCGAGCCACCTACAAGGAACAAAGGGCTTCTGTCTCGGGCACGGGGAGCCCGGCCGCGTCCGGATTTGGAGGAAGAGAAACTTTTCCCGCGATGCGGGAGGGGACGGAGCGGGGCGGGCTGGCGGGCAGGGCGCGGAGCTACCTGCGCGGCCCGAGCCGCCCGCCCGCCCGCCCGGGGAGGCCCGCGCGCGCCCTCACCTCCTCGATGGCCGCCACCGTGTTCCGGCACTGCGTCGTGCGCGTGGTGAAGCTCGAGGCCGTGGGCGCCTTGTAGTCCTCATGGGTCTCGGCCACGAATTCCGACACGGAGATCTGGTCCGGCATCGCCGCAGCGCGCGCGCGGCCAGCCGCGGGGGAGCCGCCGCCTCAGCCGCCGCGCGGGCTCCCTCCGGCCGCCGGGACGCCGCCTCCGCCGCCTCCGCCGCTCGCTGGGCCCGCGGACAAAGGGAAGCGCCGGGGCGCGGGCCGCTGCCGCCGCAGGAGCCGCCGCAGGGCGCGGGTGGGCCGGCCACGGGCCCGGGCGGCGGGAGCAAGGGCGGCGCGCGCAGCCCCGCGCAGCTCGGGCCGGGCCGCTCCGCCCGCCGCGCCCAGCGCTCCGCCGCCGCCTGCCTTCCCGAGCGAGCCCCGAGGCGGACGCGCAGAGCCGGCGGGAACTGCCCGCCACCCAGCCGCGGGCCCCGAGCGAGTCCGGCGGAGAGGGGCGGGTCCGGGCCGGGGGCGGCGGCCGGCTGGGCGCGGGGCGGGGCGGCGCCGGGGGCCCGGCCGCCAATCCGCGCGCTCGCCGCCGCCGGGAAGCTGAGCCAGCAGGAAGGAAGGCGGCGCGCGCCCGGCCCGCCGAGCCGCTCGCCCCTCGCCGCGCGCCGCATTGTCTCGGCGTTCGGACCCCGCGCCGCGCGCTGGGGCTCGACGACGCGCCCCGCGGAGCCCGGCGGGCCGCCGGCGGCCCCGGGCCCCCGACCCCTCCCGGGCTCCGCGAGGGCGCGCGCAGGGTGCGCTCGGACACTCGCCCCGGCCCAACCGCAGCCCGCCTCCTCGTCCCTACCCACCCAGCCGGGCTGGGAGCCGTTCTCGGGGTTCCCCGGAGCCGCGGGGCCTCCCCGTCCAGGCGAAGGGGAAAGTGGGAGGCGCTCGCCCCCTACCGGCCGGCGCGCTCCGCCCCGGGCGCGCACTTCGCGTGACAAATGCCTGCTGCGCGCCACCGGGCAGCGGCCGGCCTCCAGGCGGCGGTTCTGTTACAAGAACACGACAGGACCCTAGACGAGTGCGTCTGCGCTCTGCGCAGTCCCTCCTAATCTCCGCGGTCGTACGAGGCCGGTGAAGAGGTGGGTGTTGGTTCCATATGGAAGACAAGGTGCTGGGGAGCGCCCGGTGAATGGCCCCACGGGATTCAAACCATTGTCCCCCCGGCTCCGAGCCCTTCAGGGCGCACACGGCACCCCTGGGAAAGGCCCCGGGCGAGTTTCCTACGCTGATACAAGGATGGGTCATTCTCGGTTCCTTGCCAATGGTTATAGGGCCCTAGCCCAGCACCCGCCCTGCGGGAGGTCACTGAGGCCCGGAGCGTTCCCTGTGGTTCCAGAGAGAACGTGCAGCCACAGCGGGCAAGTCTCCTCCACACCGGGCCCGGTCAACAGTTTCAGTCGGTACAGGTTGTCACCTAACGGGCTTTTGAGGAAACTCCGCTGTTTCTAAAAGCCCAGGCGCTCTAGCCAAAGAAAGTCGCACCCTAGAACTCTCCCCCAGGCCCGTGGCACCGTTTCCATGGCCGCCAGCGATCACACGGAGAGAGACTGGACAAAAACCTTTTGTGCGCCCGACGCGGAGGAAGTGAGAGAGACGCTGGAAACTCGGTGCGGCAGACGCGGCGGGCTCCAGGCGCTGCAGGACGGGGGGCCGGTCAAGGGTCTTTTTTCAGCTCCCATGGAAGCACTGTGAGGCGGCAGCCTGGGTCAGACGTTATGTATGGCCTTTGGTATTTTAGGGGCGTTGCGTGTGAAACTGAGCTTTCTGAAATGAGCCGCGTTAGCTTTCTTACTCCGCACTAGGCAGCAAGTGACAATTTTAAAAACCGTAGCGTTGCTTCTTCCGTCCTCCCTTTATGTTTTTTTTCTGACCCTTTTAGTGTCTTGGGTGGTCTCCGCTGTTGCAACTTGCTACAGTTCAAGTCCCGGACGTGTCATTGTTCGTAGGAACACACCCTCTCCTACCTCGGGCAGATGCGGGTCCTTCCCGGCCAGTTCTGCCGCTGGGGGTGTTTCAGATTTTTGTTGTGGTCGTCGTTGTCGTGCATCGACATTGCAGGATATCCTGCGTACCTTTTCAAGTCTTTTAGTAATTGTATCTATCAGGTGATGAGGATTTGGGAAGAGAAAGCAGTGTTTTCCTTGGCAGGGAGCACAGCATCAACCAGGCTGATCGGGACTTCTACAAGGACAACGTTGACCTTGGAGTTGTTCTGTTGTGTCTTTATAGGCAACTCCTGTTCTTGCTTCTTGTCGCTTAAGATAACTTTTCAGGCACTAAAGGGTCCTCCTTTCAGTAGCCACAAAAATAAAATCGCAAAGCGGCATGGCATTTCGCAAGTGGGCGGGAAGCTGGCAGAAGGGAAGTCATTACCCAGTCCTTGCGTCGGCAGGCAGTGCGAGCAGGCTACCCGGGAGAGAACGCCAGAGCGGTTTATCCCTCCAGTGTCGCTGAGAGTCTCAGAAAACCGAGCCCGACCGGAGCCAAGCACGGCTCATGCGCCTCTGGCATTCGTACAACGAGCAGCTTCCAACAGATGATCATAAAGCTGAACGAGGATCAAGAAATCGTGATGCACACAGACACACACACACATTTTTTAATGCGTGAACAGGAGGCTGTGCTGATGATGCCTTGACTGACTCACACGCCCTTATCTGGGGCATTCAAGTCTAAATAACCCTAATGCCCTAAAGTTTCCAAGATTTATTTACTTACTTACTTACTTACTTACTTACAGAGAAGGGAAAAGAGGGAGAAAGAGAAGGAGACAAACATCCACTGGTTGCTTCTCACATGCCCCCACCTGGGGACCTGGCCCACAACCCAGGCAATGTGCCGTGACCTGGAATCGAACCGGTGACCCTGCAGTCTGCAGGCTAGTGCTCGGTCCGCTAAGCCACACCAGCCAGGGCTCAAGTTTTAAAATGAACTTTTGTTAGTGATAAAATTCACCTGAAATGAACGGACATGAGGCCATTCATAGTCTTGCTTATTCCACTTCTTACGAACATTTTTAAAAAATGTTTTGCTGCAAAATAGAAATGTGCTTCATTATGGAATATTGCCCCAGACCCCACTAGGGGTGACAGACTAATATTTTTGCTGTATTACCTATTTATGAATCTGAAAAACTGTGAATTCTGCACAGAATTCTGAATGGCCCCAGGGGTTTCAGATAAGAGGTTGTAGACTTGTATGTTTTGTTTTAAGAAAAAGAAAAACAAATGAAAGAAAAGAAACAGAGTTTCAGACTCATTATTTCCAAGGAAGGGGAAAAAAAACGCCCCTCTCCATCACCAAATTTTCAGCAGCCCACTGAGACTGGCCAACGGCCCATTTTCCGAAGGTGTTTTCTGCCTCCAGTGGTTCTCCGGGACGTGAGGTTTTCCCTCTCGGATCAAAGTGTCGAGTGCGCTCCTGACTCCGCAGTCTGCTAGGGGCCTGGCTGGTTCCACACGGGACTCATCCAGTTCACTTGCTATTAACTTGTAAATGATGACTCTTGGCATGCACACATCTGTGCTTTAAACGAACAATGGTCGACAGTGTCATGAATAGAAAAAACACCAACCAACCATGCACACCCCTAATGATGCAAGCGTGCGAGCACAACCAGAAGTTTCTTTTCCACTGCTTAACACTGTGCTGCCCCAAACGGTGCTGCCCAAGGGGACTCGTTTATCCCGGAAGTGATTCGAATCCCTTTATCGCAGTGACCTCACCTTGGCACTTCGTCAGGGGTGGGGGGAGGGGAATGAGCACAGCAGAAACTGTTTCACAAACGAAAACAGGTTGTGCTATCAGCTCTGCCCATCTGTGACTCTGGGTGAGTATACTGACCTCGCCGGACTCAACTACACCAAAGCAAAAGGAAACGGACTAGCTCCTTTCAAAGGCTCCTTGCTGCCGGCCTCCCGTGACCTCCTGGTCCAGGAGCTCTCTGCTCCACTCCGCACAGGACAGGGACGCCGCCACGGGGGCCGCATCACTCCTGGGGGATCTAACCACCGGGCCTGGCCACGTGAGAATGCTGACCGTTTCAAGGAAAGGCACCGCTCAATGTTGAGGGTGCTCTCATTTTGTTCAGCCGGCAGGTTTAGACGACAAGCTAGTTTATTTATGGCTAACTTCGCAATAAGATGCTTGAGGGTTTTTTTATTCTTTTGTCTTAACAAAGCGATTTCTACAGGTGACAGGTTCAGTTCCAGAAAAATGAGGTGTAATCTGTACCGTGCCAGAGCCAGCTCGGGCTTATTCCAGAAAACTATTAGGTTTTGGGGAACTTTTGCAAACTGTCCATGGCTTCCAAACAGCGGCGATTTTACCGTAATGGTGTGCTATGCCCATGTCTTCCTCACTCAGTACTCTGGGAGCTTGAAGCAGTCCGTGGTGGAGGTATTTAGACCAGAGAAATTGCCCAGTGCCGAAAACCAAGGCCTTATTTCATTGCTTTGTTGATCGTCTAAACTTCACAAAGGGACAGAGAAAATGTCAGTGCAGATTAAGCTACACGTGTGTCCTGTCTGTGGCCTTTCCATGGTGCACAGTGAAAACATCTGCGGTGATATCCTCGCAGTGTTTGCAAACGCGCAGGGTGAGGCAAAGAGGTCCTCCCGCCGTCGACAGAGAAGGCAGGGACAGTGCTCTTGACCTCGACGCCACTTGCCCTCACCGACACAAGCCAGAGCACCGGCCCTCGTCCCTGTCGGCTGGTCGGTTGCTCCTTCGTCAACGGCGGCGTGAGCAGCGTCTTTGATGTCTCGGGTCGTGACCATAGTGACCGAGCATCCATTCACGGTCTTCCCCCGTCAAATCACGGCTGACTTGCCCACACTGGGTGGCCGTGAACTCGAGAGCCCGGCACCCATCCGTGGAAGCAGCATCCCGTGGAAGTCAGTTCGCTGCGTGGCACTCACCATGAAACACAGGGTACAGTTTGTTATTCCTTCCCCACGGGTGGGTGCCGTGCGTCCCTTACAGGATGGAGTTAACTTACAGTAAACATATGTGTGCACACACACATTTTTTCAGGGAGCGTGTTGTTGAACATTTACCAGCCCACGGCCAAGTGCAACGGTGCCCTCCTGCCCGGGGCGGAGTGTGGACCTTCCCCTCTGAGTCACACTGACGAGGTAACGCCCGTCGAGAATCAAACGTCCACACACTCAACTGCACACGCAAAGGCAACTTGTGTTAACACACAGATGGTCTTAGGCT